AATTCTCACCAATTAGTTAAATGCTGTCAGGGTACTCTCAGGAGTGGCGAATCTTGCCTCTGAATATGACTGCTCAAATCTTTGTAGTTTTCGAGATATGACGTTTTTAGGATTTTTTCCGAGAACTTAGATATAGAAAATTTTTTCCGAGAACTAAGATAAAAAAAAATTTCACAAAATTTGAAGTTTACATCTCTCTAGTGAGGCTCTCTCAGGGCACTCTAAGGAGTTGCGATTTTGCCTCCCAATATGACAGCTCAAAACGTTTTAGTTTTCCAGATATGACGTTTTTTGTCATTTATTCAAAAAAAAAATACCGAAAACTTAAATTAAACCTCTTTATTCAAGATCTGAAATTCCTAACCTGTAGTTGGGGGCTGTCAGAGTAATCTCAGGAGTAGCAAATTTGGCTTCCAATTAAGAATGTCCAACTTTTTCACTCTACGAGATACGACGATTTTTGTGATTTTTTCAGAAATTTTCAGAAAACTCAAATTACAAAATATTCACAAAATTGAAATTCCCAAGCATGTAGTTGAGTGCTGTCAGAGTACTATCAAGTATTGCTTATATTGCCTTCAAATAAGACTGCTCAAATCGTGGTAGTTTTTGAGGTGTGACATTTTTTCTGGTTTTCAAAAAATATTTTAGTTAAGTTTGAAGTTTCTTAAAATTTGAATTTCCCAACATTGTAGTTGGGTACTGTAAGAGTACTCTCAGGAGATGCAAATCTTGGGTCTAAATGCGACTTCTCAATTGTTTTCAATTTCTAAGATGTGACGTTTCTTAGATAATTTTGAATTTTTGCAAGGAACATATATAAAACTTCACAAATTTTTATAGTTTTTCAAAATTTGCATTAAAAAATTTGAATAAGAAACTTTGGAAAATTTGTAATTACGAACCCTGTATTTTGGTGCTGTTAGAGTACACTCAAAGGATGCAGATCTTGTTTCCAATATGTACGGTTTTTGTGAGTTTTTAAAAAATTCGAAGCACCGGAGGTATGTTACACGCTAGTTTAAATTAAGTTACCAGCTGTTCTTGCTGACATGCTCAGTTTCACCCAAATTCCGACTGTTAGTCGCTTGCGATCGTTTAATTTCTTCTAGTTTTTTGCTTAATTATTTTGATTTATGTTAAATCGATTTAGTGACACCAGATTGCGGCGTATTAAGAAAAATTAAGTTTATTTGGTTTTGTGTTTCAGGAAGAGTATGAAAACCTGTTAAACTTTTATGACAACATTTTTTTTGACTCAGCTGGCGTGTACCTATTTTAAAATTTTATGAATGCTTATTTAACGGTTTCAATGGTTTTCGTCGATATGCTTTTCTCCAAATGAACGTCATTCGAGACTAACGTAAAGTTTTCGTAGAGGTAATTTTTTTCGATTTTTAATACTTACGTTTTTTGTCATATTTTTTCGACTATCTGCCATGCTAGTTTTGTTGTGATGCAATCAGGGGCGGATTTTTTGAGGGGTCTGACGCCCCCTCTCCCCTTAGGGATTCGACCCCCTGCCGACCCAAAGGGTACACTTTTGTACTATTTTGAGATATCCATATTTGGTGACGGACCCTAAATAGTTTCTAAAGGCGCCTTGGGCGCCAATATACGCTATTTTTGAGGAGGGAACGCGCGCCGAAAAAGCGCAATTTTTTGGTCAAAATTTTCCAAGAAGTGTCTAAAAATGCCTTTTTCGCCTGTTTTTTTTTTTCATTTTGTCTGCTGCGCAGAAAATTTGACAAAAACGGTCTTAATGCTTTGGGAGAGCTCGGAAAATTGATTTGATCGACCTAAATAAAGGTCGACAAAATGTTTTGGAGTTTTTTCAACAGTTTTGGAGTTTTTTGGAAGACAGGAAAGTGTTTTTCGTTACATTGAAATAGCTTGTTTTTGTGAGATATTGTTGGTCGCTCTATATTGAAGGTCGCAACTTCAGTTAAGACTAATAACGTCAATTTTGAAAGACATCAATCCCAATATTGATTCCCCCCCCACCTCCCTCGAGAAAATCATTTTAACTTGCGAAGCGCAGCCTTGTGTCTGTTGATTTTTTGTCCCATTTTTAAAATTGAAATAGAATGCTGATTTATTTTAATAGCAAAGACAATAAAACTCGTAAAATTGTTTGGAAGACAGGAAAGTGTTTTTCGTTTACATTGAAATAGCTTGTTTTTGTGAGATATTGTTGGTCGCTCTATATTGAAGGTCGCAACTTCAGTTAAGACTAATAACGTCAATTTTGAAAGACATCAATCCCAATATTGATGGCGCCCTCCGCGCAAGAATGTATCCGATTTTCTTGAAGTTGGCGGGGGCAGCGCCGAAAAAGTTTTCTAGGTAAATATAATTTTTTAATGAACGGAGGAAATTTTTGATTATTAAGAGTAATGAATTTAGTGAGTACTCTTATATAGGTCTTGCTGATTTTTGTCTAGTTTTTTTTCAGGAAAAAATCTCAAAGTTTGTTCACGCTCAGTTTTGTATTTTCGCGGTTTGACTCGTGATTTCTTTTTAAGTTCAGTGCTTTTCCATTGTTAAAAGCGTAATAATAACCAGCAATTTTTTGGCAAACTTTATATGTTAAAATGGATTTTTTAAACAAAATTACTGAAGATAAAAAACTGTTTGTCCATTTTCTGATTTTCTGTTATTTCCCTTGCTTCGTTGAACGTAGTTCAGACTCTTATATAGGTTGTGATTATTTTTTCCTTTTTTTTAAAGAAGCTTGAAAGTTTTTTTAAAGAAGCTTGAAACTTGATCAATTTCTGATTTCGAAAAGGGAAGTTAATTATCAATTTTCCCAGCGAAAAAAAAGTTTAACGTATTGATCCAGGTTTCTTAAGTTGGGTTAATTTAAACAAAAAAAGTGTCCATCATAAAATGTTCTACCAATTCAAAGAGCTTTAAGGCCAATTTTTTCTTCGCAATTCAAAAGTTGAAGGCTCTTGAAAAATCAAGTCAGTTTTCAGTTTCCTTGCTTTCATTGCTCTTTTTCAACTGTTAGTTGGCTATGTTTTGGTTCGTGTGGATTTCTTTCATTGTGTTTTTTACATGGAATTTGATTTCGTTGGAATTTTTTCATATGAGCCTCAAATGAATTTTGTCAAATATAGGTCAGTTACAATACCCAGCTAAAAATTGTTACTCTTGAAAATTTGTTGAGATCAAAGGAGCTTTAATTTGTAATTTACTCTATGAAACTCTGAAGTTGATAAAAAACAGAATTTAGGCAGATTATTAAGAAAATGTATTTTTGTGTTTTTATTAGTCTCTCATTGGTTTGGGTTGAAGTCATCTGGGAAATAACTGTCGTCTCATCAGTTGTGTTGTCTGCCGAACACCTTCAGAGATATATAATCATAACTTTGGATAATTTTTAGACATTGTGAAACTGTTTTTGATTTTGCTCCAATTCAAAAATAGGTATGCTGTATAAACTATTTATGCAGATGACTACGCTGTGTGCCACATTTTTTAGTATCATCTTAATACATGTAATTTCATCATTTGAACGCAAAAGTGTGACAAATTTTTTCGTACCACTTCAGAAATGTTCAAAATAAGTCAGTAAGAAACGACTATGCAACGATGAGAATAGACTTCTAACATATTCAGAAAGATGGGAGTTCATGTGGTCTACGGCTTCAAAAACTCGTTCTTCCAGTTCTTGCTTGTTTTTCGATGGCGGACCATCATAAACCCTTGAACTCAACATGCTCCAAACGTTTTCTATAATTTTGAGGTCCGGGCTCCTGCTGGGCCAAGGTAGAAGCTCAATTTCTGTCACCTCAAAAAAGTCAAAAAATTTTTTTGAAACATGAATACTGCCATTGTCTTGTTGCAGATCGAAACCATCGGCGAGAATGTCTCTCATTAAAGGGATGGCAGTGTCTTTCATAAGCTTGATGTAGGTGTCTGAATTTATTCGACCAGATACCGTTTTGACAAAAATGTGACCGGTCGAAAAGTCATAAACCAGACCTCTAAGGAACCACTCCAACATCGACGTTTGATGAGGTAATCTTGATGATTTTCCTCCATCCAGGAACACCAGTTATCGGGTCCGTCTAGATTAAATTTTTTTCATCCGTAAAGACGACTTCATCCCAGTTTTTTTGGTTTAATCAACCTTTCAGTGCAGGGGCCTACTCGGTTTTTTGGTCAAAATTATCGTGAACTTTGCCTTTTTATACCTATACCTCATTCTTGATAAAGCTCGATGAACCGTTTCTCTGATGATTTTGAGGGCTATCTCCCTCAGGACTTTTGAGGCTGTTACCCTTTCTTTGCGTTTTTTCAGTAAAGCAATGCATCGTTTTATACACAATTTTTTGTAGCCAACGGCCACATGCTTGGGTCTCCTCTTTGCTTTCACTCTTGAGTAGTCATTCTTGACCATATACTGCACTGCTGATCTTGGCAACTTCAGTTCTTGGCTGATTCGGCGATATGAAAAACCATTTGGATGTTTTTCTTTCGCTAACTCGATAATCTTGCGTGAGTGTATGTCAAACACTGACTGTCAACCAAGTTAGGACAGGTACCTGCTATATCAATCGTAAACAGAATTATTTGCGCGCAGTTCTCGACATTTTTCAAGAAAAACCAAGGGGTAGGAAAAAATTTGGCCAGTTTTTGTCTTTCAACAATTGTTTACCACGTATTAAGATGGTACGAAAAATGATGACGCGGAGTGTATTTGACGAAGGTGGTTTTAGTCAGCAAATCTATGTTATTCAAAAACAAAGGTTCATATTAGGTGAAATTCCAAAAAGAGTACTTAAATTCGAGGAACTTGAGCTCAATTTAATGCCTCTTGCTAAATACACGAAAAAATGCTTAGATAAATTTAATGGTAGTAAAAAAATCAATTTGAAAAGAAAAATCTATATTTGCCGCAGACACTTAAAATAAGCCGCATTTTAAAAATTATATCAACTCTGACTCTAATATTTACTCTGCTCTGCATTTTCGTCTAACATGGTTTTCGTCTAATATATCAGCCTCGCACTACTCGACTTTTCAGAGATCAATGAAAAATTTGAGGATACTTGCTAAACAGCAGCGAAATCAAGAGGACTGGATCTTAGAAAGTCCGACAAGCTTATAAAGTTCAAGAGGCCACGTGACGAAAAGTTTTAAGGTAAGCGAAAATGAAAGCTCATTTCATCAAAAAGGAACAGAGCATTTTGCTACTGATTGATTGAGCCAAAAAATGTTTGAAACCTACCTTAGTTTTTTCTAAAGAAGTTCTTTAGTACATCTAAAAGTGAAATAGTACAGTAAAAGCGTATATAATAAAGGTCACTTGAAAGTGGTAAAGCAGTTTTGAGTCTTAAATTTAACAGAAAGCTTGTATCATGGTCCTTTTGCCTTAAAAATAATGTCTTGAAATGATAGAAAACGTCAACTATTGGCTCTGATTTTCTGTTTTAGGTGGCAGATATTACAATACTCAGATCGTTTCCAATGGGAACACAATCTGTTCGGAAATATAAAAATAGTATTTAATTTACACTATCTTCGTAATGGACCCTGAGAAAGCAGAGAAGCTGAAGAAGGGGTTCTTCCAATTGACTCATAACATGTTGTGTGCAGATAAGGCGGCACAGTATCTGTACGCGAACAAACAGTTGAGTGTGCAACTTAGAGATCAGATCAGAGAGCAGGAAAATAATACGGAAAAGAACAGATTGCTCCTCAACAATGTTCTCTGCAGAGATACTAAAGGTCAGTTAGTGAATATAACATGTAGGGCAGCACAATATCCTCGGATTCAAAAACGAGCTAAAAAAACTCCGATTTTGGTCTGAGCTGCAAAATAACACTCGTAAAGTTTGAGGATGACAGAACCATGTAAATAAAAATCGCAAAAACACTCAATAGCTCTCCAAGCAAGAGAAGCACCGTGTTATGATAATTTTTTATCTGGTAGTTTCAGCTTACAACATGTTTTCAGCAAGTGTAATAATCCACAAAGTCCCTCTTCTATGGTATCTACATAAGAATCTATTCCCCTATAAATTAGTAAATTAGCACTAGGGCTTTCTATTGAGAATCTAATTTTGTAACAATCTGATTGGTTGAAAAATTGACTAACTTAATCTTCTTATCAATCCCTTTTTCTTGAATTAGAGGGGGTATTGTTAAGTAGATCAGATCCGCAAAGTCTTGTGAAAAAATTGATAGTGGTTTGAATGAAATTGTTCTGCAGCTTACGACCTTCTTTATGAATCTCTTCTCATCAACAAAGAAGAACACCTGTGTCAGTTACTGTGGATACCCTCTTTCGGTCCCTACCCGCAATCCAGAGAAAGGGCTCCAGTGGTGTCAGTGGCTGGGTTCAACGAGGAACTGGAACGACGAGGCCTCGACTACAGATACAGACATGGCGAAGATCCCAATCCAGGCGGCGACGTCATTGATTTACAGACATTCTAGAACATTCCTGCATGTTCATGCTGCGTTAAGTGGTACACCATCGGCAATAATAAATATGCATATGGTTCGCCCAAAAATTTGGAAGAAATTGCCGGAATTGAAAAGCATGAAATTTATTTTAATCAATCGTTTGCGGATCACTTTTGAATTCGATTTGGGCCAAATTGTACCACTTAATGACTTAATTATGAATTACTCTTTTTTTATATGCATTTTTAGTGACTTGTTACGGTACCGATATTTATTGCGAAGATTTAGATTTCATAGCAGCTGTTTTTTACTATAAGAAATAGAACTGTAAGAGGGTGAGAAAGCTGAAATTATGTGAAGCCAGGTTTGTTAATTTTGAGTTTAAATGAAAGTATGGCCAAGTGGGCAGTCTTCTCGCATAAGGTTTGAATATGAATTACAGAGAACAAAAAATCCCTAGTTCAACTGACCAAACGAGAGGAAAATCAGCTGATGTTTGATTCTATTCTGCTTTTTGATGGCAATAGTTACCATTGCTCAGATTGGCCCTCCAAACATGCAATATATTCCTAACCAAAATTTATTTTTTAGTGGATCCGGATTTTTTATACCGATTGTATCACGACTATTATGACTTCAATTATTTCCTACCTAACTCTACGTAGAAAAATCACCGGAAGCATTCATTCTACCCAAATTTGGTAGCAGATAAATTTAGCATGTTCTTGCCCAGTTGAGTGGTCAGGCACGGTTAAGAAATATAAAATTATTTCACAAAAGGTTTCCCGCATTATTTCTAAGTGTAAAAGAGCGAAGTGATTGTCACTTATTAAGGTCTTGATGAGTTTGTCCTAAAAATTGGCAAAATCCTATAAATTGCTCGCGCTCACCATCAATTTTTTTTTGTGGTTTTACTTGAAATTTTTGCAAGTTTACTTCATTCCCTTTGTTTACACTAGCCACTTTGTGCATTAATACGAACCTTCTTTCTTATAACGTAAGTCGCAAATAAAAATGTTCATTAAATATAGATTCAAATAAACTGATATAGATTTAATTCAACTACTAATTTTTCAATCTGCGCTTTTTCAATCTGATTAGTGTCAAAATTGAACAAGAAGTGAAATAAATTTTGAGAAGCATTCGACAAATCAGTCGTTTTTCCAAGTTTTTGTTTTGCATTAATACACCAACATTCCAAATCAAATTTTAAAATTTTTTGACGCTGCTAAAAGATCAATTTTTTCTGTCAGTGTTTTCGGGGCAAGCGTATTTTAAATTCAGAAAAAATATAGGTAAAGTTTTCAAAGTATCAGCTTCCGAAACATTTTATTTGAAAAACTTTTACATGAACCACTTCTTGCGAGTTGAATTTTTTAATTTGCTTGTTTTGAATGTCTTCTAACAGCCACAAGTTTATTATTCCTTTCGGCGGGTTCAAACATCCTGCTAGAGTGTCAATATCAACAACTTTCCTATAGATTCACGTTAGATATGGGACTGGTGCTGCTCCTGACACCCTGGTGGTGAAGGCGCTCTGGCTCAAACCACGCCAGTGAGCTAAGGTGAAAATCCTTTCCCGGACTTTTGTCCCTGGGTCTGCAGAGTGGGAGTTGCTCACTGAGCAACTTAGCGACGTAGTCACCCTCGGGTGTTGGATTGGAAACAGGGCGTCCAATCTGCTGGGGCTAATGGACAGCCCAGCTATCCCAATTTATTTCCACCTCTTTTTCTACAGAAGAGGTGTTTTTTTACCAAATTTTATTCTGATACTTTTTAGCCCCTTTATTTTTATCCCCTTTGAAATTTTTATCCAGCCTTCTTGTTCAACAACTTTCGGGTAAATTTATACGTTTTATAGACAAAAATCCACAATTATTACACTTGCGAAGTGTAACAGTACGATTTTTTTTTCAACCTAAGTTGCAAACTTTGTTGCGGCTAAATCGCAAATATTGTTGCGACTTAAAGCAACAAAGTTTGCTGCATCGAACTGTTAAAACAAAATGGTTGGCACTTTGTTGCATCTTCACAGCGTATTGATAACATGTGATTTGACATTCGAATTGTTATAAGTTCACAGAATTGATGCTTTTTTAATTCATCAAGTGAACCCAAGAACGCTATTTGTTTCAAACAACGTAACAATCGTAAAATATCGATTTCAGAAATTTTCTTACTCAAAGTATCCCGCTATTTTTTGAAATGCTTAAATTTTACATAACGTGGCTTTATGATTTGCAATTTTGTATATGCAATGTTGTATCTTTTTGTATTTTGTGCTACTTTTGCTGCATCGATATGGTTATTTATGAGCATATGTGGCACCGTTATAGGTGACTAGTTTATGGGGATTTTAAGCATCCGTGGCTGAATGGTTAGTGCGTGAGACTCAAACTTGCTAGGTCGTAGCTTTTTGCTAATTCAAGTTTTTGCTAAGCCTCGAGTTTTTGCAAATTCGAGGCTTATTCCTACTTTTGCCTATATCACTTGAGAGAGCTGCTTTTTGGTCGCATTCTCGCAAGTTTTTGCGAAGCGCAGCTTCGCATCTGTGTATGAAAATTTCACTGTAGCATTGGAATTTGCATAGCACTTATTCTCTGCTTTTATTGTGGCTTGTGTTTATAAAGCGTCCGTGGCTGAATTGTTAGTGTGTGACTCTCATAATTTTTTTAGGTCCAGTAGGTCGTATGGTCAAATCCGAGACAAAGCCGATTTTTTGTGGTTCGAAGCTTATTTCTTGTTTTATTTAATGCACTGTAAAGGACAGTGTTTTAAAGAACTGCCTTCACAAAAAGAACTGCCTTCGCAAAAGAACTGCATTCGCAAGAACTGCCTTCGCAAGAACTGCCTTCGCAAATTACACAGGTTGCAAATTTTGTGTATTGGGAAAATCTAGAGACCTTGATTTTAATATGATTATATTTAATTTTTCAAGGTTAGAAAAGCACTTTGTATAATCCTTTGCCAGCAAAAGACCTCATATATTTTTCACCAATTTCTTTGGACATAAACTCTTCGTCTAACACTTGTAGTCTCTATCTATGAGGCTGAAAGCGTAAGACGAATTTTTATGCCGCACTAATTATGCCGCACCCAAAAATCTTTCGAGTTGAAATCAGGCGAGCTGATAGGCATTCTACTTTTATCAGACTCGTAATACTGATACTTACAGTAAAAAAATTATAAAATATCAAAACAATGTTTATCAAAACGTTTTCGAGAACAATTAAGGAGTAGTCGGACTATTTACGGTTTTGCATTGACATACGAGCGGTCTTGTTTTCCACGCAGTTGAATGCTATGCTCATGATAATAAGTTATTGTTCCGACTATTGATATGAGAAGGAATTTTGTCTTCGGGTTTTTGCTCTTTTTTTGCGCTTAGTTCATGATTGGAAGGAATCGGGTGATTTATCTTATGGAAGCTCTTTAAGGCGTACACAATTAAAGGTTTGAATGAATCGGGTGATTCATCATATTGACTCCCTTTTAGTTTTGATTCGAACAATTTTGAAAAATTTTCGAAAAAAAATTATTTCAGCGTCAGGAAAAACAGGTTTGAAATTTTCGAATTTTGGTCTAATTTCGAGCTAATTAGGTGAAAGTGTAGATTTACAATAGCTTATTTTAAACCGTTGAAACTTAGTTATACCCAAATAAACTTAGCTTTTGGAGTTTTTAGCGCCATCTTGTTGCTCAACAACTAAAAAACTCAAAAGATTTCTGCAAAAAAAAGGGAAAAGTTTGAGCACTTTTATAAAAAAAAATTTCTACGATTTTTTTTTGTTCTTTAGCCATTTATCTCCAAAAACTGTTTCCCAATCGACCTATTTTACTATGACTATCAAACATGTCTAAGTTCTGTTTTTATTCAGATCTTCTGGTCACACCACGCTGAAAAAAAATGACACTCATTAAAAAAAACACTGAAAAAGATGTCGTTGTTTTTAGAGCCATCTTGAAAATAAATGAAATTTCTAAACAATTTCTGAAATAATTTGTAGTCATTTTTTGACAAAAAAAAATTGTTGCCCAATTAACCTTATTCACTATGACTTTGGAGTATGCCTAGTTTCTAGTCTTTTTTTCAGATCCTACTATCACACCGCACACAAAAATGTCATTAGTTTGAAAAAAAAAATTTTTAAAGAAATTAGACTATGGTCGGAACGGAACATTCTGTGCTATTTGCACAGTAACTGACTATCTTTGAACGTTGTATAGTTATATTGACATCTCGTGGAATGAAATATGAGATGACATGGTTCCTTAACGATATCTTTAATATAATTAAACTCAGCTTATAATCAATAATTATCAATTGGCATGACTCCGTTTACAGATAAAAGTACATACAAACTAATAATTTATGAAACAGTAGTCTGTCTAAACGATTCGCAGAGCAAGTGCGAAGCACATCAACTCATCGTCTGATCCCTCTTCCTTGTACATCTTGAACTCAACTGGTAGAGTCAGCTAAACAGTTTTTTTTTTCAAAATACACCAATGTTTGAAACGAAAAGTAAAATTTTTCAATTGCACCTAAAAGAATTCATCAACCAGCCCAGAAAAATAACCAAAAAAATTGCATGTAGTTCTTAAAGAGGTCACAACAGCGGTTCGCCGTGATGAGCTCTACAGCTCTTGTGTTGGTCCTTTCCCCGTGGGTAAATGTTCGTAGCAGTTTTTGTCATCTATATAATTTTCTTAGGTTTGTCTCATAAGAAAATGCCTTTCACTTCGTGATTTGTTGATGCTCTCAAAGTTATTGTGTATCGAGCATCAGTCTAAGCTTTTGAGCTTTAGAGCGTTCAATTAAACGTTACCTCATTTTTAACCAGTTATTCCCCAGCCTATAAATGACAAGTTGAGATAAGCACGCATTTGAAGTTCAACGAGCTGCATTTGCAGCGTGAAAAGTTTCTTTGAATTGTCCTATTTAGCTATTGTTTTACCGATGGGTACTCCTCGAGTACAGGCACTTCAACGTAGTACTGGTATTTCTCGCCCGTCTTCAGGGGACAGGTGACCCCCTCCCCAATGTGGCTGCACACCTTGGCATAGTCTCCGATAGAGTAGGGAACCCACACACCCACTCTGCCATACACGTAAGTGTATGGAGCATCCAGATCTTCGGCTGAAAATGAAGTAACAAAATGTACCTGGGACAGTTTTTGTCAGATTCGAAGACCGTTTTTCCACGGCAGTCAAAACTAAATTGCGTTGTGAATCTGAATTCAGGGCTTACAAGTGGAAATATGTTTTTTTCAAAATTTAAACGAGAAAACAATTTATGGCTCAGAGTCTTAATTGTACGAGGTTCGAAATGCTGTTATTACTTAAATTGTTCTTATTTTTCCAACCGCACTCTCGAGGAGTGAGAAACTATGGCTTAGGGTTAGGCTCGGTTTTTTCCCACCATTTTTGACTACCTCAGGGATACTTATGATAATTTCGTGTTTTTGGAAAAGCAGTAGAATGACTAATGCTGAAGAAACGCTTACAAATTTTTTGTTATCATCGGCTTGAGTACTTCTTTTTGTTATATTCCACTACTAAATGAGAGTGACCATACTTTTGAAGAAGCACCCGAGAAGCGTTCCATATCAATCGGTCATTAAAAGAAATGGACGTTTGGTTGGCTTTACCCAGTTAGAAAAACTTACTTTTGGTCTTATACAAATTTATTTGCATGGAAGCATCTGGACATATCATGGTGCGAGTTCGCTTAAACGAGCTTTTCACCCAACTTTTGTACACCAATCGGAAGCTTCTTCTGCCAGCAAAAACATTTTTCAATTGAAAGTCCTCATTTTGAATTAAAAAGTATCTATGGCTTTACTGGCAGTGAAGTTGACGTATATCTTGGCCGTGTCTCCCTTGTTAACAGCACAGGGTCCCTGTGGCGCCAGAGGACAAGGCGACATGTAGACTGCATCCGCCTTCATCGATCCCTCCGGCCCTAAATCGTCCAGTTTTCAAAAATCTACAGTGAGATTGCTACACCCAATAAACTCCCAGCTACTTTACAGTTAAGTTACTGCATGTCCGGAGATAATGGGCAATACAGATATTGCATGTAAGGGATTAGCCGGCCTACTTACCGCAGTTACCGACGTATATTTGATCAGCGGGCCCTCCAGGGACGAGAACTGCACCTGACCAGCTGCCGGAGTTTCGAAAGATCAAATCAGCTCCAGCGCTGAAATAAAGCCATTTTTAATGAACTAATTGTTAATAAACTAGTCGATGGAAAGTCGATCATCCATAAATGTTGTGCTGAAAAAAAAATCATGTTCAAAGGCGCTTTAAAACCACCTCCAAGCTGAGCTCTAAGAAGTTGATGCACTGAAAGTAAAAAAGGTTATGTCAACATCAATATAAGTTTGAGAACATTCACTAGGCAAACGCGCGAACAAAATTGAAACGATGCAGCCCAGAAACGTTTTTTGATTTTATAAAAGATAACAGTGAGCCGGATTTAAAATGGTAGGGCCTGCTTCAAAGACAAGCGTCTAGTTTCTATTTTTCTATACAAACAAAAATACGTTAATTTGTTCTTTCGGCCAGCCCAATGATATACCCAATAATGTTTCTCAGGCCTTTTAAAATGAGAGAAAAAACAAAAGCTGAAGCAGAACAAAACGTCAGCAAATACAAAATCAGATCATCTTGTTGAGGACATTTGAAATTAAAAACAAGCAAAAATATTTTAAAGTATTTGCTGAGAAAAAACTCTGGAGAAAACAAAGATTTAGTCCATTGTAGCTTTTGATAGTACTTTTTTTGCGCAGAAAAAAAGTCAGTTCAATTTGCCCAGTCCCGAAACTCTCTCATTGCTTTGAAAAACAAATGAATTTTTTCAATTCCTTTTCCCGCAGAATCTTACTTCTTAGATTAGACGATATGTTGGGTTGTGTCCCTTTAACATTCCATTACTTTCGATCTTTTAAAAAATGTTTTTCAATTGACTTACTTTTTATGCTGCTCTGAGTACCTGTGCTTACCTATGTTTTAAATTTCTCGCCTAAAAGCAAAATAAGTGAAGATACAATATTTACTATTCTGATCATTACTTAATTATGACAATTGCATGTCTAGAACTCTTTCTGTCATTTCTCAAAAAAGATTCTATCAAAAAATACTATTCCGTTTTTAAGGCCTTTTTTTATCTGGTAGGGTGTTCATTAATTTAGTTTTAAAGCAAGGATTTTGTCCATTTTAAAAAAGTTTTTAATTTAAATGAAAATTCACTAATTTGTTAGTGTACCATGTCTAATTACAATAGTGTGGCACCTCTCAAAGTATTGTAGACCTTTGCGGTGCGATCCGCAGTAATCTGACCTACCCCGGTGTATCATGGGAGTTTGATCTGAGCTTTTGGGCTGTTGTGCTGGTATTTGTACTTCCTTTTGCTAGCATGATATCGTCGTCGTTTTACTGGGACGGCTGCGATATCAGCAATAGTCCATCAAATGAGGCCATTTCTGCTAACATCACACGCCGCATTGCCCAGTCCTCAAAGACGTAAGTGCGAACCTTGGAGAGCCTTGATTCGGCAAATGTAAACCTTGGGGGTCACTTGAAATTTTTCAAATTGCCTTTGCCCTGTCTGGATACGGCCCTGAAAGCCACCAAACTAAGTGCCATTAGTAGTCTCGCAGGTCCTCGGACAGAGACGACTATTGGTACAACATTCTGTGTTAGAGGAGACCAGAAACGGGGGACTGTTCTACAGAATACCTTGGTGATTGTTAAAGCTATTTGTGGAAAATGAGCTTTCCCGAAGTTTCCTTGAATGGTAACCGCCACAATGCTTTTAGCACTGTAAACCCTATGATCTGATCTTAGTAGGGATTCTTACCCGGTGGTTTTAGGAAGCTCGGAGCCGTAAAGTGGGTAGCTAGGCAGCTTGCTACCCTTAAAGAATAGTGCTTCTTGGTGAAACTAACTCTCAGTGATAGTCTTTTATGACAATGAAAAAACTGAGGACTTATAAAGCAAGGATTTGAATCCTTTTAAAAAATCATTTCAAAAAAGAATATTCAAACAGTTTCAGTAAATGCTACATCAAATTGGACAGCTTATTTTGCTAAATATCGAAGGGAAAATTGATTGTTTTGCAATTTTGTGTTTTATCTTGGTTGAGTCTTATAAACAATTTAATTTTATGAAGTTTTCATGGCAACAGTTCTGTTTTCGGCTTAACAGGTTTCGACCCAAAGTTCGTTGCTTTCGTTGCCGCTCTCGTTTTTGATTCTTAAGAATTGTTTATTAACTTTATCCAATACACATATGAAGTTTTTGTAGCGTTAATTTTTCAAGTTTTGTCAAGTTATTTGTGCAAGTAGTTTTTTCCATAATTTTTCAATTTTTCAAAAAATTTGTTGATATCTGTCTTTTGTTTTCAGTCACTATTTTGTAGCGAAATGTGTTCTTGCATCCCAAGTGTTAAAAAGCTCCGCTCGCCTTTGTGTAAATTTTCTATATCATGATTTAGTTCAAGTCTTTTCAAGATTGAGAAACATCTTTTATGATCAATTAAAAATTGGTGATTATGTCAATTTTCAACACATATTATAAAGGTAAAAACAGTTTATTCGAAAATGATCGATTGATATTCAATCTGTTTTTGATACAGTAATTTTTGTTTTTTTCCATGAAGATTTCAATCTTAATTACTTTTTTTGTTCTGAATTATAATGCATTTTATTTGATTATACTTGTTTTTTGTTCTATTGAACATAATTATTTGTGTTTGCCCGATTTGTCAACAATCTTGCATCTAACTTGTTCATGAAATTTGCTTTTCATAGATGTTGGTCTTTGTAAAAGTTTTGTGAAACCACTTTGGCAGTTTTTGAATCAATTCAGTTCTAAAATAAATTTTTTTCCTATTTTTTGGCTACTGTTAACGATCCAAATTTTTTTAAGTTTTTTACAAATTAAAATGTGAGCATAATGTTTCAGTTTGATGATTAGTTTAATTCTATTCGGTGAATGAACTCAAATTACTAGGGTTAGAAAGAGCCAAACAATTTTTTGAATTTCACTTGTATGGAAATCACAATTTATCAAAATTTAATCAGCGCTCCAAAGATCAAGAACTAGCCTAAGCAAGCTCACAAGGCGGATTGACCGATAAATTTGCTTTAATTTCGATATCGAACTTTTGATGGAAATACAGATGAGACTAAACCCTCATGAGTATGATGAAGAAATTGTTGTGGCGTCAATCAACACGTTTTTCCCATCTTGAGAAGATTGACAAACTCCTGCTGAAGAGCTTAGCCAATCAGAAGCTCACATCATATCAGCTAATCAAAAAACTTTCAGAAAAAAAGGTTGCTAACACGCCAATTGAATTCTCAAATGCCTTTCAAACAATCCGGATAATTCGAAAAGGGTCAATCAGATCAAACATAACCCCAGAAACGAGTCGACAGTGAAAACAATAATAGAAATTTAATCCAGTTCGTGAGCTTGATCAAAATCAACAAACTATGAGACAACACAACAAAGTGAGTCCAAAGATTTCAAAGGTGAATTTATCACCGACAGCTTAAGAACAAGGGGAGAAAACCGTAGTCAGCAATAAAAAAAAGAACCAAACTGCAGTTAGAGAAAAAAAAATTTAAGATGCCCAGACCGTGAGGAAAGTTTGTCTGACCCGCAGTAGCACAGACGGAACAACAACCGCTGCGTGTGAGCGATGGACATCATCGAACACAAGAATGTCAAAAAGGAGCTTCAACCACAAAGTCAAAACAATGTCAAAAATATGAGGACGCAAGGCAGCTATTAAGTCAAGTTTCAAGAAAAAAGCGGCTTTCCCCAAGATAGATTTCTCGGATGACACGATACAGGCGAGGCAATAAAAATCCAAATGAGGATTTGATAGTACTCAACATACATTTTTCGAAAACTTTTGGTAAATTTCCTCATTATGAATATTTGATAAAAAATGTAAATTTCTGAGCAGGAGGTGATTTTAAAAACTCTATGGAGCTACCTGGAGAACAGTACTCAACTCGCAAAAATCGACAATTTTGCCTCAACGTCAAAACAAGTTACAAGTGGTGTTCCTCAAGGGGTTTTGTTGGGACCATTGTTGTTTTGTACATTTATTAATGACTTTCGGACGTACTTCTGTTCAGTACACCGTTCATATATGCGTACACTAGTAGTATTGAAATCCGCCGTGTGTCCTTAGGGGGAGTCTTTTCGACGGTAGGGGTCTTTGGGGTCCTACCAAAAGTAGGGCCCAAAAGGACCCATCTTTTTTAAAGACCCCAAAGTACCCTGCCCGAAATAAAAAGACCCCTCTCTTAGGACCCCCGACAGACAAAATACTTTGGTATTTATTTTCGCGCGGTGGTTAAATTTAATCCCTTCCAAACTTTCCAACCACTAAATAAGTATGGGTATACCCGGCTGCGGTTTTCTCGCTTATTTTTATCTAAAAGCTAAACCTTTTCGTTCATATAAATATGAGTTTACATAAAGTACCATTCATATTTCCTTTTAAACATTTTTGGTAATTATTGTTTGTTTCTCTTTCTTATTTTATTTTCAAACTTATATCCAAGTCTCCCTTATTTTCGACTTGCACCATTTTGATTCTTTTAGCCTTACTATTAGCTCACTTTGGGAAACTAAATACGCAATCCTTCGCTCCTGCTTCAAGGGTAAGTTGCAATTACCAGTCTTTTTGCGCCGGTCAATTTAACTTAAAACAATGTTTGTTGAATGTTTTATATTTACAAATGTACAGCCGTAATTCCAAGTGACAAGGCAATTTAGCCGACATTTTCAAGTGAAAAATTTTATTGATCGGTTTTATCAAGTTTTTCTCCTCTTTTTCAGACTAGAACGAACAGACGCTTCTGTTAGAATGAATGGGTTATTGATAGGCGGAGGGTCTCTTGAACTGCTAGCTGCGCTTTCTTCTTGAAGCTCTTCCTCCGTATAGCTTTCTTGAAGAAAGCCCCAATCTGGGACCCGAAATTCCGGTGATTGCCAGCTTTCGCTGTTTTCGCTGCCATAAATCGGGGTATTTGTCAACTGTGAGTTTGCCCACTCGCTTTCTTCCGCAATGGCCTCGAAGAACACATTTTCTTCTGTAGACCTGTGTCCGAAGGGCAATGTAGCTATCCCGTCGAATAGTAAGAACCGCTTACTATCGAAGGGTGAAGGGGCAAT